TATTATTCTATATTCTAATTCAGTGGTTCCCAAGCTTTTCCAGTCCACCGCCCCTTTGGTGCTACAAACTCATCCTCAGTGCCCCTCACCCGGGGTGGGATTCAAATTTCTGTGGGCATGACCTAATTTGAGGGTGTGGCTTGTTGGTCACATGACTAGGTGGGCATGGCTTGCTGGTCACATGACTGGCTGGCATGGCTTGCTGGCTAGGCATGGCTTGCTGGTCATGTGACTGGGTGGGCATGGGCAGGTGACTGGCAAACAAGCGGTCCTCACTTAATGGCCCATTGTTTAGCAAGTGTTCTAATTTATGACCGGCCTCTCCAGAGATACTTGACCTGTTTTTGGAGTTTTGACAGCCATGCACACACATATACACACACTCCCTTCTAACTCTGCTGAAGCAGGTCATTGGACTAGAATCGGCAAAGCATCTCTGACTAGATTCTAGTAGTGAATAAAATCTAATCAGAGATGCTTTGCCGATTTTTTATTTGTTTTATTTGTATCTCTTTATTTTATGTTGCTGAATTGCATTGACATGTGTGTCCCTTCTTGTGCACAACCCAGAAGTTTTTGTGATTCTTTGCAGCAAAAATTACCGACCTCTGGCTTTGCTCTACTTTTCAAACATGCCGCTACTGCCGCATTCTAGGTGCCGGCCCCGCAGGTCCACCCCATTGAGCTGGAGGGACCTGCCCAAGCAAGTCAAGTCAGTGGGGTGAGCTTGAGAGAGGGAAAGAGAGAGAGAGAAAAGGAAGAAAAGAAAGAGAAAAGAGAAAGAAAGAAAAAGGGACAAAGAAAGAGGGAGGATGGAAGGAAGGGACAGAAAGAAAAAGAAATAAAGAAGGAGGGAGGGAGGGAGGAGAAAGATAATGAGATATCTATTCTAGTCCAATCACCTGCTCCAGCAGGGTTAGAAGGGAGTATGTGTGTGTTTGCATGTGTGTGTGTGTGTGTGTTCTCCTTGTAATTTACCAGTACATTTTGGTTTTGCCTTCTTCAGAATTGGCACTGTAATACATTGGGGAAAAGTAATTTTTAGGGTGGAGATCTGGTCCAATGGATCCTGTTTAAAGCCTCAACAAAATGTGAGAGCGTCTTGACCATGTTTCATCCACAAAACTTTTAATAGAAGCCAAAGATGTTTCAATGTGCTGGCAAAGATGTTTCAATGTGGAAAAGAGCCTCAGTCTAAACTAGGCCTCATTTCAATCTGATGCATCAGGTCTCTCTCTCTCTCTCTCTCCCCCCATTTGGATGGATGGATGGATGGATAGGTAGGTAGGTAGATAAGTAGATAGATAGATAGATATTGGTAGGTAGGTAAGTAGGTATGTAGGTAGACAGAAAGACAGTCAGGCAGGCAGGTAGTAGGCAGGAAGGCAGGCAGACAGACAGACCTTTTGGATGGATGCATGGATGGATGGATGGATGGATGGATAGATAGGTAGATAGGTAGGTAGGTAGATAGGTAGATAAGTAGACAGACAGACAGACAGACAGACAGACAGACAGACAGACAGACAAAATGCAACAGTGGTGGCACTTTGGGAAAGTAAAGCAAAGCTGCTGCCACCGAATTCGAGGCGCTGGCTCTGGAGCGGTGCAACAGTCAATGGGGTGAGCCTGAAGTGCTGGCACCTCGAACGTCCCCCTGCTACCTTTTAGCACCCCTCTGCCAGCCCCCTTGGGGGCGCTAAGAGGTGGCAGGGGGGGCATTCGAGGTGCCAGCCCCGCAGGGTCACCCTATTGACTGTTGCACCGGAGGGGCTCAATGGGGTGAGCCTGCGGAGCCAGCGTGTCGAACGCAGCGGCAGCACGTTGTGAAAGTAGAGCAAAGCTACCTGCCCTGGGCTTCCTCAACCGTGCCCTGCTCCAGGAAGGAGGGAACAGCATCACCCTCTACAACGTGAGTGCCCCATGGGGGGCAGCTTGGGAGGCTGATCCCTGGCGGGAGGGGCAGCCTGTGAACTTGCTGTCAGGCAAAGCAACTACAAAGAGAAGTGGGCTTGGCTGAGCGGGATACTGGATGTGGTCAAAGCCTCCCTTCCTCTGCCTCTCCCTAGGTGATCCACGGATTCCATTGACTGTTGCACCAGAGTGGTGCATCGGAGCTGCCACATTTGAGGCACCAGCTACAGAGCGGTGCAACAGTCAATGGTGTGACGCTGTGGGGCCGGCGCCTCGAACGCCCTCCTGCCACCTCTTAGCACCCTCCTGCCGGCCCCCTTGCCTCTTAGCACACCCACCTAAGGCAACTCACTGCCCCCCACGGGGCAGTACCACCCACTTTGGGAACCACTGTTCTAATTGCTACATTTGCAACCAGTGTGTTCTTAAGCTCCCTTTGATTCTTTTGGCTGCAAGGCTATGAATTCACGCTATGAGTTTTTCTTGGTACAAATCAGCTTCATTGGATAACAGACAGAAATGGATGTAATTTATCTCACATAATTTTATAACTCTATCTTTCATCTTTTTAACCAAATCTTACAGCCTTATTTGGAAAAAAGATTTTTCTGCCTCTAATAATTATGGCTGACATTTTGCTGTACTTTTAATCTGTAAAATTGGTTTTTACATGTAGTGATAATTATGAGACTGAGGATTTTCCAGGAGTGGATTACAAACAGTATTCTAATTGCAGTAGTGTTGTTTTATAATCATTAGAAATTGGAAGGTGTTTACAATAATTATTAACCATGATGACTCATGATTATGGATCAGCAGCAATACCAAGAGGATGCCTCTTGACCTTCAAGTAAGGTGACAGGACAACCAGGGTGGGCAGTCTGCCATGACATGCTCCCAGTTCAATCTCTCTTCCCCAGCAGACAAGAAACCAGATCACATTCCAGGAGAAGAGGGTCATCACCTTGCTCCCCAAATCCTATAAGATCTCTCTGTCAGTGATTGGATATGATAAGACATCAATTTGCCTATGATTTGTTCATATGCATCTACATACCTAGATGTCTACTCAGAAAACTACTCATTAAATTCTTGTCATTAAGAGTGTCACTAAACCCATTTTTAATTCTGGAAATCTTAGGAATGCTGGAAAGGGAAGTAGATTAGATAGATAGAATTTTTTCCCAGATGATCATCAAGGAAGGTAACACAACTCCCCCCCCCCCCAATGAATCAAGCTAAGAGATTATTATCCAACTCAATGAAGCTTTAAGATAATAGATCCCAACTTAAGGGCCACAGACTCATCAAGGTCTTGAAGAGTATCATAGATCAGCTGTCCTCTTGAAGTTCTCTTCAAACACTTTTCTTCACCTTCCCCTACCACACACACACATACACACACACAAAATGAAGACACAGGACAGAGGTTTGTGTATGCTCACTGACAAGAATGATGGATTGATTCTTTTTTGTTGCTTTTAAAAGAGAATGATTTTCATAGGCTGAGCAATTTCTCTTCAAAAAGCAAATACAGACCATCAATTGCCTTTTCAATCTATTTCACCATTTTAAACATTTTTTTTTTTCAAAAACAGCTTCGGTGTGTGCTTTCAACAGTTTTCCATCTTCTTTCTTTCAACAGTAATCACTTGACATTTATGTGTTCAAATAACCACTGTAGAACAAAATAGAATAGAATAGAATAGAATAGAATAGAATAGAATAGAATAGAA